GCCTGGACAACAACTGCCAACCTTGTATCCCTACCTTGTAGCTGCTCCCATCCACCCATTCTATACACAGCTGCTAATGATCTAACATGAAGACCTAATTATGTCATTGTCCAGCTTAAGAATGCTTCCTTCTCAATGATGATAGGATTTTTCAACTGTATTTTCTGCTCCATGCAACGGAGGGATTTATCTCTCTTCCATCATTAACAGTGGCTCACTTACACTATGATTTCCACTGAGGAAAAGGCTCTCCCCAGCCTCACTGAGACCAAGTCTAAGGGCCTGATTACAGCAGACAATGCTTTGTCTCCCTTGCTTTCATCATTTCTTCCCATTTTTAACTTGACACTTCAGCAATACCAAAGTGCTGTACACCCCCACCCCACCACCACCAATTCCAGGATATTTATTGCCTCCGAGCCTGTGCTTATGCTGTACCCTCACTCTGGAATACCTTCCTATCACCACTCATTCCCTCAATTTTACCAAATCCTCGAGGACCTACTCAGCTCAGCATCTTCTCTTTGCCTTCCTTAGGCTGGACTAAGAGCATCTTTGGCATTCATATTATATCCAGAGCCTATCTCCATCCCACATTTCCTCTTTGTTTTAGTCCATTGTGTTTTTATAATCTCGTTATTTCAAAGTAATACACGTGTCCTCAAGAGGCACTACCCAATATTTTCATTGTTAATCAACTCCTAATTCACGTGTCCTCAAGAGGCACTACCCAATGTATAAACTTGGTTACTTTCAAGTAGCCTGGGAACATAACTCTTGGGGTGTCTAGAATTGTAGTCCACAAATCGAAGACATTTTAAGGTAATTACTGTAAACTTCTGCTCTCTCACTGCAGGTGAAGAGAGCTACAGATACCTATAACTTAGGAATTGCCCTTGAGCACCGGAAAGAAATGCTAAACCTCTGGCGGAAGATCCGAGGGGATCTGATTGGAATAGACACTAAAAATGAGTCCTTTTATGACACCTTTTCTACTTATACATGGTCCTGGAATGTTTGCCAAGAATTACTTTCTCCGAAGGACTTAAGGTTATATGATGCCTATGTGAATAGAAATTCCTTTCACAATCCTTCATTCTCTTCCTCTTCGGATATCAGTGAGTGCGACATAGAGACAAGAAGAAAAAGACAACGAAATGGTTTCAAAGGATTTCAACAATGAAATTTCTACATTTTCTAAGCAGCTCATTGCAAACTGCTTTTTCACAGATATCGAAATTATGGTTTCTTCCTTTTGTCTAGTACATTCTTAGCAACTAGAAATGTTGACATCTTTTGAATTCTGACCAGTAAAAAAGTTTAAGTCATAATACGGTTTCCTCATTCTTACCAGTAGAGGCCATTCTGTTATTTCCCTAGCAACCAGCTGTACTCTGCTGCCCCCACCTGGCTCAAAACTGCCTGGGCAGAAAGAAACGCTGAAAGCAGGCACTTATCAGACACAGGGCTGCCCTTTTGAGCTCCTACGGGCGCTCCCAGCAATAAGCATCAGAGTTGATGTGACTGTGAGTGGCATTAGATTTTTTATTATTTGTGAAAGCAGCCAAAGGCAGCGGATGACAATAACCTTCAGTTTCAAGGAATAATACCATCCCCCAGGGAATCTTGATTAAATTTGGGTGTTCCTAAGGCTCCTTAGCCACACATCTTCAGACTATTCTCTTGGAATACTCTTAAAAATAGCTGATCTCATCCATTACACTTGTTGTTGTTGTTCTTTAATACATTTAATAAAGAATCACATGTATTATAAGTTTGGGGGTTGAAATTGTTTTATTGTAGAAAAATATACATAAAACTTACTATGTTGTGTTTAAGTACATATCACCCACTACATTTTTTTCTTTTTAGAAAAAGGAAATGACATCTCCCATATTGATGGGGAGAGTGGCTTATTATGTAAAATTATAACATTCCAAGAAAAAAGTAATGAAGATAGTGAAGGTTCCCAAAACTGTTTAAGGAAACAGTCTTGAAGTAATTTTGTGTTACATTGACTATTCTAAACCCTCTGAATACATTTGCCACTCCAAATATTATGATTTTGGGGAAAAGAACTAACTTTATAAATAAGTGACCATATTTTCTGACCAAAAAACAAGATTTATGGTTTAACAAGAGATTTTTTTTGTTGGGTGGGAGTGGGGGGGATGGCTGCTAGTGTAACAGGCAATCTAAGAGATATAATTTAGATGCCAAAATATTAGAATTCCTGGAGTATTTCCTTGGATCAATGGGGTAATAAAATGGAATATTTTTAAGTAGATCTGTCCTGGAAATCTAGGAGAGTAATAAAAATGTACAGTAATTCTAATAAATTATCACACAATTAGTAACATAAATTGGCATCTGTCTGATGGAATACCATATAGAAAAGGTATTCAGCCATTTATTCACCAATTATTTATTGAGTTGCATACTGTGTGCTGAACCCTGTTCTAGGATCTAGATATACAACTGTGAACAAACAAATAAAATGCCCTGACCTCACAGAGCTTAGTAATGGAGCTAATTATAACCATTGACTCAGCACTTCCACTTCTAGAAATTATTCCTAAAAAAATAATCATGAATGTACAAAATGATTTAGTTATAAGGATGTTTATCATGCTGAATTTTTAAGAGACTTAAAATAGCCTAAATGTCCAATAAATCAAGATACAGCTATACAAAACAGAGTCATTAAAATGACGTGAAATATTTCAAACAAAAGAATGATATTCACAAGCTATTAAATTTTAAAGCAGGCTACAACTGCTAAGAGTTATGAGAGAACTTTATGGATTAGTTCTAAAACTTTAAGTATGATCATGGTTACACAAATACAGATTTTTATGAAAACTCATCAAACTGTATACTTAAAGTGGATGAACTGTGTAAATTATACCTCATGAAGCTGTAAAAGGGAGGGCACAAAGCAGTTTGTTTAAGTTAAATAACTTAAAAGTTATTTCTAGAAATAAATTAGAAAAAGCACTGGAAGGATATAAACCAAAGTTTAATGGGTTAAATTAAGGATAGGATGGAGTATTTTCTTTTGTCTTACCTATATCTTCTAAATGTTCTACAATAAACACTTATTTTTCAATGAGAAAAAAAAAACAGAAAAGCTGTTTTAAAATTAAAGTTGTTAAACCAGCTTATTCAATTGTCTAGGGCTGCTACAAATGCTGTCCAGATTCTGTGAAACCTTAAGGAGAGCAAAGTAGGACACCAGGGTGCCTTCCTTACTTAGCCCTTCAGTTCCAGAGCACAAGCTTACAGGGACCAGAATTTCCACTGATTGGAACTGAAAGAAAAGCAATTAACTACCCCTGTCCCAGGTTGACACCTAAGGCAATAATCCAGACTGCGAGTTCTTAACCTTTTACTTCCTTTGAACCCATGCCACCCAGTGAGCTAGAAGAGTTCTCACTACTCACCAGCAGAGGGACCCTTAGCTCCTCTGAAACGCAGTGCCCGCTGAAGTCCGCCGTAAAATCTGATACCACAGAGGACCCACAGTCATGTCTTCCAAATTTCTTTCGAAAAATTATTTTAGGTGCTTTAAAAGATGAAGAAAAGTGAGTTGTACAGATCAACCACGGTAACTATGTCAAAGTTACGTTTAGGATACTATAGCACAGTTCATAAATAAGGTCCAAGTCGTTTGACATTTTAAATGACCCTTTTGAAACTCTGTAACTTCAAGTGAAGACAGAGTGTGCTCTTTACAAGAAAATAGCAGTGGGACTATTGATTGGGAGCACTAACAGCTTTCGGTGTGGAAGGATAAAAAGCCTGTAGATGAGAGAATGAGATGCTAAGAATAAATATAAATCAACCATCATATCTGCAAGCAGCTGGCCTTGAGAAAAGTTAAAATCCTCATATTTATTATTTGGAAAGGTGGTTTTGTTCAAATATTTCAAAAGATGATAACAATGGCGAAAGTATTTTGTCATCAAATGAAGTGCAAGTTCTTCGCTATCTTTTTGATTCACTCATGTACTTTTCTTTGTGATTAGAGAATGTTTGGGGGTTGCTCGCATTTTTAGGAAGAGTATAGAATCTCTCATTACTCCCCTTAGTTTCGCATACAGAAAAAATTTGCAGTAGAGTAAATTAACACTGGTTGTTAGTCCGCTAAGTCTAGTATTGCACTATTCAAATAACTAATTAACCCTTTTCTTCTCTTTTTCCAAATAGTAGTCACCCTTCTCCTGGAAGTCTTCTCAACCAACCTTACTTTATGTTAAAAGTATACTTTCTTCTAGATTCTTGTAAGAATCATTGTGTAATAATTATTGAAATTATAAATGTAAGACTGAAATGTATTAATATAACAAACTGTGTGCATTACAATTTTGACTGTGCAAAGCTCAGGTATGAATAATTCAAAAAAGTAAATGGTTATAAACTTTTTTAAAACTTAGCCTTTGTTATCCCATTTGATTTGATGGGTAAACTATGTCCTCGTAATGCATTTCATATCTTCACCCAAGAAAAAGTGTGGAGATACATAGATATATAGACATACACATACATGTATATCTATATATATCATAAAATGTATATTTCATAGCTTTCCCCACTATGAAAAGCTGACTAAAGAAACTGGAAAATTGCCCTATTTCTTCACCCTGCGTGCTATCTTCCTTAATTCTTCTAGCCATCGGCTCTACAGTGGAACTAGGTATCCTTAATTTTTAAAGAAACTCAAGTTTTCCCGTTTTTACTAAAGGAAACAGCATTGAAAGAAGGCTCAAATGAAAGGTCTCCCACTTTCTCGCTGGCATGCATGCCCACCAGTGCCTACTCAAGGAGAAGCAACTCCGGGGCGAGAACCCTTCTCAGCTCAGGGCCCGCCCCACCCGTCGGCGCCCCACGCGACGGCGCCCCGCACTGACACTGGTATCCTGGGCCACCCCGCCTCCGTCTTTTCCCGCCCAGACCCAGCGCCTTCCGGAGGGGGCGTGGCCCCGCAGGAAGTTCTCGCGTTACGGAAAGGTAGACATTTCCGGCTCCGGTATCATGGCCGGCTCCTACCCTGAAGGCGTGCCCACTGTGGCCGGCGAGAAGAGGCAGCAGTTCGGGACCCGGTTCCTGAGCGATCCGGCGCGCATCTTCCACCACAATGCCTGGTAACCGCCCTTCCCCTTGCGCGGCCTGCGGCTCGCCCTCTGTCCTGTCGCCCCGGAGCGCTCCGAGAAGCCCCTGACCGCCGACTACTCGAGGCGCTCGGTTCCCACGGGAGAGGTGCTCCTAGGCCAGCGACTCACCCTGCCCACAGTTGGAACGTGAAGCCCCTGCGTCCCGTT